GTAGTTCATCAACTCATCTTCAATACAGTAATATATATCCTTGTTGTTCACCAAATATGCAGCCTTAATTCTAAAAATATGTCTACATCAGATCGATATGGCAAAGCAGCACAACTTCGTGGATCTGTCAGTTTATTTGTATTGCTTGGTATCACCTGGGCTTTGGCGATACTGGCAATCAGTGAGGCTGGTTTAGTCGTCAATTATTTGTTTGCGATTGCCAATTCTCTTCAAGGATTAATTATATTTATATTTTTCTGCGCTTTGAGGAAGGATGTCCAGAAAGAGTGGAGAGATGCGTTTTGTTCACGTTGTCAGCGTTCATCTCGATCTGCAGGTTAGTCATGTTTCCAATACTGCCGTGTGGTGGCGCCCTCCAATTCCAACTATAGATCAAAGTTGTAAAATAAATTGACGGACGACATAGAATAGAGAGTTTAAGATTTGCGTACGTAACGAGAACGTAACGTAATGTTCTAATTTCGTTTGCGTTACGTTCTCGGGTGTCAGAAAACGATTAAGTACAAGCGCCCAAAACGGGAACGTAACTGAAACCAGAACCATGTCAATCCGTCTCTCATTGGGCAACAATAACTACCTAATAAAATTTGTTATGTCATTTCACGTCCGGAATCAGAATTAGTAGTTAGTTCACAGACATTTGACAGAGCTCTCACTATTTCCATCCGCTCTGCTGAGGTCCTAAGCCTGTTTGCCGAATCCTCTTTCAGCAGATCAATATCATGCGTTTTCAGTGGGTATAAATGTCAGCTAAAATGCATCCAATATTTCTTATTTCATCATAAATATTCAAAAACACTCTGATGTAAAACGTTTTATCAATGTCAATGAAAATTATTCAAAATTGACAGCGAGAAAAGCTCTCGGAAATCAACTACGAGTCAGTCACCTTGATCACGTTCAAAACGACTGCCGAACGACCAGGCAACCGATGACGTCATTGGTTCGCGCGGAGGTCAAGCACAAAGCAGTGACGTATCCGTTCTCGTTCGTTCTCGTATGCGCATCTTAATGTCTCTAATTATTCATGGCTTACGTCAAAGAGTAGACTGACATTGACATGTAATGGGTTGAGGTGAAAATGGACAATGAACTTGACCAATTTGTAATTCTGGAAACAATTTGACACTGAACAGAAAACTACAAGACAAGATGGTCAAATAACACAAACACATGCCTGACATTTAAAAACCTGCGACTTGACCTTTCCCTGCAGACAAGCTTGGTAATGCAGCGATGAACATGATTGATAGTCAGTCGGTTCCTCTGGCCATACTGCCTTTGTTATTTTGAAATCACATTATAGCATTGATTTAACCATTATGCTAGAGGCACTGCAACAATCTATCCTGTCACATGCAGTATGCATCATTCAATGCTCATGGTTGTATCTATGCATCATCCAATGCTCATGGTTGTATCTAGTACTTCATCATTCCAAACACCACTATTTTGACAATCGTTTACTAGCTTGTCTGTAGATGTGCAATAGGCTTTTAGCAGATGTCTTAAAAAATGCTCTCTATATCGATATTAGACTTACTTGCAGTCTGTTGCGATTCCGCTGAAAAATTCTTGAAAAATAAATATGAATTGCATAAACAAGGGGCGGACGCGAACGTCATGTGACCGCGAAATCCCAACAGACTTGCCATCAGTGTAAGCACCCTCACATTACCGGCCAGATTTGGGCTTGTATTGAATGACATGTCTAATATGTTTCAACCAATCAGAAGACAGGCTAATTAACATACCAACTGAGACCCCGGAAATCCATACACACTTTCTTGGATAAACTTAGATCCCGAAAACTTTACCTACTTTCTCATATCCGAATCGCATATGCAATTTTATTTTAGATTGAATTTAAAAAAAACGTGTAATGTTATCAAGAGAATGTTTGGAGCGAGCCTTAAAAGTATTAGGATACCAAAGCCTTCTACGATCAGTGTGAGATCGTGGATGCTTACTAAGATGGCCGAGACGTTTTTGCTATCTGCACCTACAGGCATTGGAAAATCACTGACTTTCGAAATGGCTCCGTTTTGTATCGACTACACACTACAGGCACGTGCGATGTCCGGTTTATTGTTATGATCCATGGCTCAGCAGCTCTACCCACCGTATGTCGTATATGCAAATTTACAAGCCCGAATTCGGCCGGTAATGTGAAGGCGCTTACACTGATAGCAAGTCTGTTGGGATTTCGTAGTCACATGACTTTCGCATTCACCCCTTGTTTACGCAATATATATTTATTTTTCAAGAATTTTTCATTGGAATTGCAACAGACTGCAAGCAAGTCTCTATCGATGTGTAAACGTTCATTGTTTTGTGGGTCCTTCCTGATGAGAGTCGCACTTTAAATCATTTAAAGGTTGCATACTTGATCACTACTATGTGTATCCCTGTTATCATGCGATAACTGGGCAGTGCTTAAAGTCAATGCATAAACATACCAACAGCAATATTCAATGTTTACCCATGTTTGTAAGTATCGTTTAAACAACAAATTCTACAATGGTTCTTTCGCATTAGAAATTCTGGTCATTTTTATCTAGAAAATTACCCAGCAAGTCGTTTGCTTGTGAATGTTTCAAGAGTGAGTAAATTTATGATACAATATCGATTTTTTTCTCATCAACTGTACATATATTACATTTTTTTTACCGTCAATTTATTAAATAAATAAAAATAAAGGACTTCACACTGCCTATTATCGTGTAATAAAAGGGCTGGGGCGAGAATGTTCGTTTAAATATTGGGTTTGACTATGTCTCGCCTATTATTGCGCATATCTCCTATTATCACACAATAATGAGAACTGTGATATCCTTTACTCCCAAAACATTCCAAATGCAGTAGTTTACACTGTTCAATTTTGTACTGCTGCAAACTGACAGATAGAAAATAAAATGCACACAATATATACAGTTGTCTATCAGTTGTCATAAACTGTTGACAACATGAAAACATTTCATCATGATCAACAGTGTTTCCCCTCAAACAGGAATGTTTTCAATTCCATTGATAGGGCATAGAACATTGGACTTCGAGGTTTTAATGTGCATAGTGACGTACAATAAAATTATTTTCTGTGTATGGTGATTGGGAGAGTTTGAATATGGACATTCCACATATGGGTGGGTGGTTGTGCTCGAAGTAAAATTAAAAAGCTGCTTGTTTATGGTTTGTAATTGGAAGTGGCAGATAGCTTTAGGCATATACATGTAGCAGCTGCTTTCATGACCATTGCTGAGCATTCATCCAAAAACCCTTTACTCGCTAAATATTACATACAGTTTTTGTGTCATTATCTCTGTCTTTATCAAGAATAAGCTATATGCTTGTCATAATATTAAAGGCAATCATTTGACAGCTATAAAAATGGTTGCAAGTTGACTCTGCTAGTGAGATTTAATTTAAATAAATCCTTTGAGATGCTAGATGCTTGTATATATACATTATGATTCATTAATCATCGATATATGCCATTCCCTAATAATAATTATTTTTCAAATATTAATCTAATTTCAAATAAATTGCTGTATAGAATGTCAGTAATCAGTAATCATAATTGCTATTTTAGTTGTAATTACAATGTACATGTACCTGTGATGTGTCTCACTGAGTACTATAGTAGATATTGCATACTGATGTACGTATGCTACTCCTCCTCATACACTGAATATGCCTGTTTCGGCTGTGCAGCATAGGCACTCAGGCTCGCAAGGATATGTAAGCTCTACTGCGCCAGTTGATAAAGTTTTATTATATATTATAGGTTCTGGCACAATATTAAATTTGATTCCTTGACCCTTTTTTTTTTTGACACATGTTCACAGAGTGAATTGACCAAATATGGTTAAACAGCACAGACATATATTATGGCAAATTATTATTGCACAAGTTTTTCATAGCGATATTAAAGGTATATTAAAGATAATCTTTTAAAATTCTGATTGTGAACTGTGTATTGACAGAATTTTCTAAAATGTTGCTGCATCCTAAACTATCTAACAATGAATCATCCAATTCTGCTATACTTATTAGTCCTGCCCAGAAGCCAAATTGTCAAGTGGTGAATGACAGATTGATGCTTCCAGCAAAAATGTTTTCAAATTTAATTCATGGAAGACAAATGCATATGAATTTTGATCGTCTGAGAAAGCTGCAAATGTTTGTAGCAGTGAATATTTGGGATTTGTTATGACAGTATTTCACAGTGACTTTTACTTGCTTGATAGATTGATGTAAAAATGAACATAATATTAAGATAATTTGAACCATAAAATTGGGTTTGAGTTCTGTGGGAACAAATAAATTTCAACAAACTTGCTATCATGCAAACGAATGGTGACCTTTTTGTGTAACACTTTTGGGAGACTCTGCATACTAGAAGTTTTAAAATTCTGGTTACTTTTAATTTCTGAGAAATCGAAATTGATTATCAAGTAAATTTCAGTAATGTCTAGATGTACTTATCAGGCTTAACATGTACTTTGCATCAACACATGTAATGATTCATGCACATAAATGTTTAAACGACTGAACTGACACTATTATGAGACCCTCACCTTGTATTCCCTGCGACACTCCTGAATTAATAGTTTGCTATTGAATTTGGTAAACTCTATGGGTTTTTATCTGTAGTCATGTTATCAAAATGCAATATAAGTATTCTGTGGTACTTTATTTTTTAAGCTTATCATTGTTTCCATGGTTTCAGAGACACATTGGAAACATGGTTACAATTACCTGTAGACATCGTTGAGCT